GTAGGGTAGATAATTAGCATTTAATTTTGCCATTTTTAGACAAGGGTGCATTGCAATGAGTGCCACACCCAGACCCCAATACCGACAAAGCCCAAATTTTACGTGGAACGAGTTGAGATTATAGGTGACCTAAATCCATGAGATGGGTACGGGGGCCCTTACCGTCTAGGAGGAGAAGCGGTAACGGTAGCCGTCCGGCGGAGCCAACGGAGCCGGCAGAGCCGGCGGAACGATCCGGACGGGACCGAAACCATGTGTACCGCCAGCGCTAACGCTGGTGGTACAATGACCATGTTTCAGAAATCAGGGAAGCTAAATTCCTAGCAGAGGTCAAGACATGCTGCATAATAGAAAAAGAGACTGGAAATCTGATAAACTGGTTAACAAGCAGTGTCTCTCTGAGCAGAATTGATAGACAAAATTTATTTTTGTTTTTAAAACATGTAACAAGCATAGCTGCTGAATTTTATGATCTATTTAAATTAAACTTTAGGGGGAGGAAATGACATGCACGTACAGTGAGGGTATAAAAATAACAGCAGTCTGGTTTTTCTGCGGGTACCTCATTAATTTTCTGATTTACCCAACCAATACCTTTTTCCTTTTGAAAAAAAAAATTCCTCAAAATAAGGGTCAGTCACACTCAAAAATCAACTAATTAATATTGTCTGGCGAAACTGTATTCTAATCAAAGAACTAGACTACTAATGCCCCTGCTGTAAAGATTTTTTCACCTACTGTACTGTATACTTTTCACTAAAGTAGTGTGCATATGGTATATACATTACAGGGTGAAAACTGGCTACTTGATACCTGCTGCCACGTTCATGAACCAATTTTATATCATTTCAAAGTGCAGTGATATTTTGGGGATAAAGTGCATTTGACATAACGATAAGACTTTAAATAATGCACTCAAATAACTTTTTCGAACGTATATATCTCTAATGAATTTCAAGGTCATCAGAAGTTGTTTGCATTTTGCTTTCATTATAAATAACTTTATCTACTGAAATGATTTGGTAGTCTATGAAATTATCTGATTTTTTTATGTGTACCACTCAATCATCATTTATCATACACAAAAAGATAGCAGTAATAGGCTCTATTCCCATAGATTTTAGATCGATCTATCCCCGCGGGGAGTCTCATTAGATTACTTTCAGATAATCCGACTTAAATGTCCGTTCCGCCTACTACAAGCTGTAAGGAGGTAATTAACTTTCGTGTCCGCCCCGCTGACAGCTATTTAGCGTGAACCCCCAGGGAGTTAGGTCGATCTAAAGTAGGTTGATCTAATCTATGGAAATGGGGTGATAGTCATCATCATAAGCTAAGCAGGCTTTAACTCAGATGAAGTGAGAGATGCTTGGAATATCTAGAGCACACTTCATGCTGATATGAAAGCATTTGAGTATCTGTATGTTTTGTGATATGAACATCATTTGGAATTTGACAGCTCCCCATATTGGTGCATTTTCAGGTGGGGTCAAGTCAGGCCTTGAAAGAGTTATCAGTAGCCTCCATTCCAGTTACACTTTACAGCTCCAAGTCAATCAAAACATTAGAGCATTACATTCCAAAAATCTTCCATTTTCTCTGTCTTTTTATATTTCTGGAGATTTTTTAAAAAATTTCCCTGGAAAAATCTTTCACTTTGTTAATATAGCTTCTAAATACTTTGGTACATGTATAATCCATATATTGTCTAGAGCTAAAAGCTTGTTGTAGCAATGTTATTGTGTCATTAAATATAAGTAAATAAAGACAAGTGTGGTGGACCATGAAGACTTCAGGGGTATTGGGGATGTCATTTTTATTATGGAATAATTGCTATTTTTGTTGTACTTTAGCAATTAAATTAATATTTTCCTCTTATTATTTTTTTTTTAATTTTGGAGGCTTTTTTTTAACTTGATGGCCTGCTAAATGTAAATTGAGAAAAAATAACATACGACACCCTTGAAGTTTGTGGCCAAGTTTTGTTTAACACATTTCAAAATATGTATCACTGATTTTCCTTGTTATCAGTTAATTTTTTAGAAAAAAGTGCCTAGCCTCTGTGTATTTTTGATTTTAAATTCTCCTTTTTTCTTCAGCATCCCATGGAAGCAGCCTGAACTGCCTAGTCCATGTTGTGATGTACCTCTACTATGGACTGTCAGCCATACCTTCTGTAAGAAAACATCTCTGGTGGAAAAAATACATCACAAAATTCCAGCTGGTAGGTAGTTGGTATCAGGTTTATAGACATAAGCATACAGTCATCATATTTATGAACCCCAAACAAAATTTCACTTTTATTGCTTTTCTGTCTTTTGCTGTCAGTGCCATAAGAATTACCATGGTATTGATATTTAATATTAGATAAATATTTGTAAAATGTTTATATTCCCAAAATATCTGTATGAAATACAGGTCCTATAATTTTTCATGATTTATTTTTCAGATACAGTTTTGTATCACTCTGAGCCACACACTTAACTCATTTAGAAACCAATGTCACTATCCAGCATGGGGAAAATACCTCCTGACTGGCTACATGGTTCTCATGCTGATTCTTTTCATGAATTTCTATGTTCATGCCTATTTCTTCAAGAAGAGAATCCATATAAAAACTGATCATCATAGCAATGGTGCTACAAATGGGCATGCCAAAGGAGGCGATGGACATATTAAGAATGGCTACATTTCTCTGAAAGCTGATTAATGATTTCATACATTGTTAAAACTTAAGTGTTTTTGATATGCTTCAACCACTTACAAAAAGTAAGTTTTTCTGTAGGAAAAATTATGGTGCCTTAAAATATCACCTCTATATTTTGTTGAGAATTTACAGTGTAAAACAAAAGCACTGGTGGCATTATTTTTGATTTTTTAAATTTTTCGACTGTTTGAGAGGAAAGAATGCAACTAATGGTTGTTATTGAGTCCCATTGGGTGTGTGTAAGAACATTTTAAAGGGGTTTCGGCAGATAAAATGTCAGAAACAAAACAGTGTTAAAGGGTGTCTTGCCCTTGTACATTCACATGCACTGGGCAAAGATGGGCATATGCTTGACCTGTAGCCTGCGTGACCTTCTTGTAATATTTGTTTATCATGTTTATTGTTCAGTGAAGATATTAGAGGAAGGAACTCATGGATTTGACATCTTTTGGTAAGAAATGTAAGACTTTTTGTCTTTATGAGGAATTTTTCATGCTTTAAAGTAACAAGTTTGTCACTTGTCAGTTGTCACTGCTTTGCAACTGTTGCTACTGCTTTTTTTTTTCAAACAAGAATGGACACATATTCATGATAAATGAAGGAGTATATTTTGTTTTACTTGGTTAAATTCATTAGACATCCCTTTTTCAGTTTTTTAAAGATTGCATTCAGCTTGCATATTAATGGGTCAGCAGAAGTTATTTTTACAGCTGGTTGATTACATTTCAATGTTTAGATGTACATTGGATATAATTATTGTAATTTTCATTTGCTGTGATATAATAGAACTTTTATATGTGTACAAATGTATCAGTTAAATTAGTACCAATTAATGAATTCCACTAGTCTTTACATTTGCAACAATTGTAAGTGCTTTATATTTCATGTTGTCTCGTACTAAAACAATAAGTGCAAGTTGTGCCATATTTTAAGGCATTTTATCTTCATTTCCATGCTATTTTCCATTATATTTATATAGTTCATGCTGTGGAATCATTTGCAAATGGGACGGGACTGAAAAGTCTGGGATTCCAGGAATTGTCCAATCACTTTGCTTTGAAGTGGTAATTACCCCTGATCTCTGCTTTATCTTTCTATGGGTCCATTTTTCATTAAAACCTTTGATATGATAGTGTGCCCCATTTGTTTTGTTAATATAGTTGCAATAGACGTTGTTATAAATTACTAAGTCACTGAAGAATTTTATAAAATGTTCATTTTTTCAACTGTATAGAAGTGGTTTTATGGTAATTTGTTACAATTAAACTGTATGTTCTTTTCCATTTTTGATAATTTTAACTAGACATGCATGAATAGTCAAAATATCTCTTTAATATGCCTTTAATGTTCTTAGGCTAGTCTATGTTGATAAAGACCAACATAACTGGTATTATCACAGAGGCACCTGCACCTACATACATGTGTAAAATACTTGGTTTACAATCCAGCAGAAAGTGCCAACTTTTTAAATCCTTAATTAGATAATTTATCTTGAAATTGAATTAAAGAATATAGGATTAAGATGCTCTGTCAGAACACACAATAGTTCAATGTCCTACTTAAAATAATTTGTACACACAGAATGTATGCTTCACAACTTAAAAATGTTCAAATTCAGGTTGTTTTTATATTCAACACACAGCTACAATGAAAATCGTTGACATAATTTGTTGTCATATTTTTTTGTTTTAACATCTAAATATAAAATTCTTATAGTTATTTAACCTGAATTTCCAGTTTAATCCGTTTGACTTTGCAACAATGTTTCTATGACCTTCCATTAATGATACCTCAATCTGTCAAGATAAGCAGATGTTTGTGTTGAAAACCATTGTTTCAATATATTTTTAGCATTATAGGCCCCTTTTACAAGCATGTTCTATGTTTATTTTGTATATTGGTTGTGTGTCTGTGTGACAAAAAAGAAACCTTATTATATAAATTACAGTAGTATTACAAGGCAGCAAAGCTGTCAAATGTACAGACAAAAAGCAGGAAATAACTATGCACAAAATAGGCTACTGTCAATTCTGATGCAAAAGTACATTATGTTAAACTACAAATTCAACATCAAATTTTAATTATGCTTAATAGGTAATACCAATGTAAGTAAAATGTGTAACAAGCATAAGGCTTCAGGCCCATGGGAGTTCAAGTTCGCACTTTGAAAATGTATAACTTCCAGAAAAAGAAGCCAATTAGACTGTTTTTCCAACTCAGGCTGCATTTTTAGTCCTGTATTTCTTTTTTGAAAGTTTGGCAATCATAAGTAACATGGTTTTCCCATAATGGTCATCATGGCAGCAGCACCCAAAATTGTGTTTTCTTCTATTCTGATGCAATATTACATAATGGTTAACAGCATAATGACCGTCAATTTTTAATAATAAAATATACATATCATGTATTTTCAGAAAATGTGACTAGCATGGGTATTCAAGCCCGTGGAACTTCAAAGTCACACCTTGAAAATGCCAATATGTGAAAAATTAAAGTTTCACAAAAAAACTGTTTAACTGGCAGTAAGAATTACCAAACAGATTGCATTGCCTACTGAAGCTGTATTTTAGTCCCAGGTTTCTTTCCTGTAAGTTTGAGAACAGTAAGTGACATGGTTTTTCTGAAATGGTCATCATGGGAGCAGTGCCCAAAATA